GTGCACACTCTGAGGGTGTGTGGGGGGGACGTGTGCACACTGTGAGGGTGTGTGGGGGGGACGTGTGCACACTCTGTTGGTGTGGGGGGGGACGTGTGCACACTCTGAGGGTGTGTGGGGGGGACGTGTGCACACTCTGAGGGTGTGTGGGGGGGACGTGTGCACACTCTGAGGGTGTGTGTGGGGGACGTGTGCACACTCTGAGGGTGTCTGTGGGGGACGTGTGCACACTCTGAGGGTGTCTGTGGGGGACGTGTGCACACTCTGAGGGTGTGGGGGGGGACGTGTGCACACTCTGAGGGTGTCTGTGTGCGCATGTGACACTCTGACAGACCGAGAAGGGTGAGCCTGTGCCTAGGAGGCAGGTCACACTTAACCTCACAGAGATTCTTGTTTGCAGGGAGAATGCTGGAGAGCCCGACCCCTGGAGCAGTCTGTCCTATGAGATCCCTTGTGGAGACTGCTCTGTGAGGCACCACCGGGAGCTGGATGTTTACACGCTGACCTCCGAGTCCGAGTCCCGCCAGGAGCCCCCCTCTTCTGGAGACAGCTGCGCTGGGCATATCTTCAAACTCATGAGCATCCAGCAGCAACTGATGGTAAGGAAGAAGTTTGCGCTTTACATGTGCACACTCGGAGGGTGTGTGTGGGGGCATGTGCACACTGGGAGGGTGTGTGTGTGTGTGTGTGAGGCATGTGCACACTGAGGGTGTGTGTGTGTGTGAGGCATGTGCACACTGTGTGTGGGGGGGGCATGTGCACACTGTGAGGGGGTATGTGTGTGTGAGGCATGTGCACACTGAGGGTGTGTGTGGGGGGCATGTGCACACTGTGTGTGTGGGGGGCATGTGCACACTGAGGGTGTGTGTGTGGGGCATGTGCACACTGTGAGGGGGTGTGTGTGTGGGGGGGCATGTGCACACTGTGAGGGTGTGTGGGGCATGTGCACACCCGGAGGGTGTGTGGGGGCAGCGAACTGGCTGTCATGAAGTATACAGGGAATGCTTCGTGTAAGAACCGGGTCGTGTCCAGCATGATCACTTAGAAATGAGCAGACGCTGGGGAGAGATTTATCTTGGTTTTGGTCAGGTTTTCAAGACGTGAGATTCTCATCCAGACATACTGCAGAAACAGAAATAGGAAACGGCTGGAGTCCTGGCATGGAAGGAAATGCCTGGTTTGTTTTAATTTTATGAAACTAAGAGCCAGCATCAAGTCCACTCCTCAGGAGTCGTCACAGCCAGTCTAGTGAACGATGTGATGTATCTGCATTGAGAGTTGTATGGCAAAATGATAACTGAAAAACAACGAAAAATGTTATAATCCACTGAAGCCCTCAAGGTTAAGTTGTTGCTAGTCATAGAAACATGATGGATACCCTGGTAGCATTATTACGGATAATAGCAACATCTTTTGCCTGCATCTCTCTTACCCATAACATCTCAGTGGCTACGTGTAGATGACTTTTCCACCCAGTGTATCACAGAGCTGATTTGATTTAGAAATAGCTTGACAGGAATTTCTTTTAAGGTCATCTAAGGTCATCTCAGTGCCAGCGACGTCCTTGGCAGAGGGCATCACCATCGTAGGATTATAGGATGTGCCGGTCTCTTGCTTTCACAGCGTGTTTATTCTAGGGCCAGTGTCACGTCCTTTCCCCCGAGTGGACTCCAGGAAGTCAGATTTTCCCTTGGGACTCTTGCTGCTGGGGGAGCAGTGGTCACAGGTGCAGGCACAACCAGTATGGAAATGGCTGACAGGAAAAAATGAAGAACAGAGGAGAGGAACCACAGAGGAGCCTTTAGTCGAAGTGCGTGTTTCTTACATTCCCAACTGCAGGTGTCAGGGGGTGTGACACACTTCACACTCGTGCAGAAACCTCCACAGTGCACGGGCAGTGTGATGACGGAGCCTTGGTGCTCAGCACGTTTGCTGAGTGAGTAAATGAGTGGCAGAGAACAGCAGATAATGTCTGTGGTTATTGGGTAGCTCAGATAATGAGTAGGCAGCAAACCAGGTGTTTTTTGTTTTTAAGATTTACGTGAAAGGCAGAGTTGGAGGGGATGTGTGGTCAGGGAGATAGATTTTCCATCCACTGGTTCAATCCCCAAATGGCCACAACAGTCAGGGATGGGCCAGGCCAAAGCCAGGAGCATAAAACTCCTTCCAGGGTGGGTGCAGGGCCCACCCTGCCCTTGGGCCGTCTTCCACTGCTTCCCCAGGCACATTAGCAGGGATCTGGATCAGAAGTGGAGCAGCTGGGACCTGAACTGGCATCCATATGGGATGCCAGCATTGCAGGCTGTGGCCTATTATGCCACAATGCTGGTCCCAAACCAGGTATTTTAAAAATAGTGTTTGTGATGAGCAAGTATTATTATAAGATTTCTTAAAATTTGGATAGGAAGGTAAATTTACTAAAAAATCCACCTGTATGCTTTTCTCCATCTTCCTAAACCTTGTCTGCACACACATGAAATACTTGCATAATTATAACCTTGGATTAACTGTAGGTTTTTTCTTTTTTTCACATTGTATTGTTGAACATTTTTTCCAATTGCACAGTGATATTAAAAGTAAAAATTGTGTAAAAACATAGTATTATTGTCCATCAGGTTGGTAACTCTGTTGTTGGTTCTGTTTACATTTAAAAATACATTGAAATTTCAGTGCCCTCCCTGCCCTGCGAAACAAGACAGTCTTTACTCAGCACCTTGCAGTGATAATTAAGAAGCTAGGTAGTGTTGGTGTCGTGTGACCGCGTTTATCAGAAAGTGAGAGGAAGGGAGTGGACACTTGGCCGGTGGCTGTGATGCCCGTATCTCATGGCAGCTTTCTGCCTGGTTCCTGACGACAACTTTCTGCCAGTGCAGACCCAGGGAACACAGCAGGTGGTGATTCAAGTAACTGGGTTCCTACTGCCCACATGGGAGGCCTGGCTTGTGTTCCTGGTTCTTGGGTCTGGCCCTGCCCGTTGCGGCTGTTTGGGGAGTGAATCGGTGGATGGGAGCTCTCTCTGTCTCTCTGCTTCTCACATAAGTACTTGTTTTTCTTCAGAGTGAAACAATAGCTGCTATTCTGCCGTGCCACTGTTCCTGAAACTCTAAACCTGTAACTGAAATGGTTAGGTTGGATTGGAGGAGCATGTCTGGGGAATTAAAGACCCTGTGTGACTCCTCAGTAAGCATTAGGGCATGGAGGCACCTGGCTGCGTCTTGGGATTGAAAAGAGTAGTTTTTGCTTGAGTATGTAAGGTGGGATGGAGTTGGCTCTGCTCCTCCAAAGATCCCATAAAAATATCTTCCCAGTGGCACATTTGACAGGTACCCACTGTGATATTTTAGAGTAAGGATTTTGAGGCTCGGTGTTCATATCTTTTTTTTTTTTTTTTTTTTTTTTGATTTAGTTAGAGACCTTTCATCAGCGGTTTACTCCCCAAATTGTCACATCACCTGGCACTGGGCTAGGCCAAATCCAGTAGCCAGGTGCTTCATCTGGGTCTCTCACATGAGTTCAGGGGCACAAGCACTTGGGCCACCTTTTGCTGCTTTTCCCTGGCACTGTAGTGGGGAGCTGGATTGGAAGTTGAGCAGCCTGGTCTTGAACTGGTGCCCATATGGGATCCCAGCACCGCAGGTATACCACCTCATCTACTTTCTAGAACAACTTTAAACTGTAGAAAACTGTCATTTTGTATGTGGATTCCATGCCGTTTTCCATATCCCAGTGGATATGCAGACAGGACCAAAAGATGTCAGGAATAGGAGAAAATTCACTTGTGTCTCTTCAGATGGATTTGTTATGTGTTAGAAGGACTAGAGTGTTGGTGCGCTTCAGTCCAGTAGGGTTTTGCTTATAGATATTGAGCATCTCTTCCCATGGAAGTTCTTTAAAGTATGTTTCATTTCCTCCTAGAAAACAAACCTCAAGCAAATGGACAATCTCATGCCCTTAACGGTGACCGCACAGGATCCTTGCCGTCCATCCAGGGCGCAGGAGACGGATGGCTGCATTCTTCCTTGTGCACGAGAGCCCTCGGGCAGCCAGCAGCTTCCTCCTCCCCCTGGAGAGACCCCGAGTGCTGCATGCTGCCCAGGAGGCCCTGCTGGGCAGAGGGACTGTAGCCACGCGCCGCAGAGCCTGGTTGAGGGAGAGAACAGAGACCATTCCTCTATGAAGAAGCCAGGCTTGGAAGGAAAAGGGGAAGAGGTGGAGCCTGCACACACTGGGGATTCTGGAGTGGTGTCTGGGCAGGAGGGCCGCCTTCAGAGTGAGCCTGGCTGCGGAGTGGGGGGCTCAGAGGACTTGGCATCCTGTGGAGACAGACATGAAGAAACTGGAAGAACACGTTCTGGAATGGCCAGCGGAGATAGCGTGCCCCAAGGAGACGTGGTCGTGGAGCCAGGCACAGCCTGGTGTCCTGCAGGGGAGCTGGCAGGTGATGTAGCCACAGAAGTCTGTGCCCTAGCGACTGCGGGGGCAGAAGGAGACCTGGAGCGCCCCGCCGCCCCCAGGCAGAAGGTGCTTCGAGGAGGGAAGCGTCCAGCGGAGAGATCCGGGAACTCTGAGGTCAGCACAGCTGGGGCGTCTGATGCGCAGGTCACAGGCAAGCCCGGGGGCAGAGCTGCTGTTCCGAACGGTGTCTCTGCCTCCGCTGCCCGGGCAGGGGACGCGCTGGCGACTGCTGCACTTGCTGTGAGTGGTGGAGAAAGCTCCGTTGAGAAGGCAGCAGACACTGAAACTTCAGGAAGTGCTGAACAGAATGCTGATGTTCCAGTAGATACCAGCTCTCTGGTCACCGCAGGTGCTGCGAAAGACAGGATGTCAGGTGGATTGGAACCTGCCTCGGCCTTAGCAGACATAGGTACGGCAGTGTCATGCTCGGATATAACCGCTCCTGGGCTAGAAGAAGGTGCTCTGGGAGACCAGCAGTCAGAAGCAAATTCCTCAGCGGGAAGTGATCCGCAGGACGCTGACCCTCTGTGTCTGCAGGGTGCAGTGCCCTCTAGTGGCGAGTCTGGTGCACAGCACTGCGGTGGCAGAGTGAGTCAGCCCCAAAGCACCCCAGCAGGGCAGCCCAGCGCACTAGATGCTTCCTCTGCCGTTGGTTGTGAAGATCCGCAGGCTACAGCCGTCACCTCTGACCCTGGTGGGGAGTCCCAGGAACGCGGGGATACCTGTCCTCTTGGCATTTCGGATAAAATGGGCCAGAGAAAGGATTTAAAACGAGATACACCTGCAGTAAATCTGTGTGTGGATGTTTCCCCTCCACGTGAAGTTGTGCCCAAAACTGAGAAAGAAATGGCGCCAGACCGGGCGCTGACATCAGGCAGCGCTGTCTCTCTGGCAGGCGGTCCCGGCAGTGAATCAGTAACCAAAGATGACGCACTTTCCCCTGTCTCCTCCCAGAAAGAAAAGGGAACAGCAACTCCTCCGCCACATACAGCTACAGATGGTGGAGAGGGTCAGGACGGAGAGCCAAGTGGTCCTGTTAAGACGGGCCAAGAAGACCTGGCAACTGGACTGCCCACGTCCTCCCCTGCCTCCCAGCTGCAGCCTGGCATGGGGAATACCAGTCCCACAGGACTTGGTGGGGAGCACGAGGGCCCTGGCTCCTCCGCAAACCCTGAAGCTCGGAATGTCCAGGGGGACACGGAATCTGCCCTGCAGAGTGTGAGTAAGCCCACAATGGCTCCTGGTTCAACTTTGACTGAAGAAGAAAAAATTCTGGTGGTTCCAGAAAGCCCTGTAGCTCAGCGACAGGACGACAGGGGTAAGACAGGGACTTGTTCCTCCATCAAGGAAGACACACTGTCTTCAGGAGCATTGCAGGGCGAGCAGAGGGTGCTGCCTCCTGGACTCGAGACTCAAGGACTCTGTAAACAACCCAGCTCGGCTGCCTGCGCCCAGGACAAGGCGCTTCAGGACTGCCATTCGCTGGGCACACCCTCTGCCTGTCTGAAGACGGACACCAAGCATGACAAGGAAGTGGCCCCACAGCCGGGTGAAGGTCTGGCTGCAGGGAGTCTGGTGTCACCAGGAGCAAATCTGGCTGTGGAAGCCTTGACTGTGGAGCAGAACAGCTCCACCCTGCTGCCTGGCCTGTGCTCAGAGGGCTCTCAGGCTCTGCACAGTCTGCCTTTGGCTCCGGGAGTTGAAGCGAAGACCCCTCCACCCCAGGACAGAGCTGGTGCCTGCGAGGTGAGTGGAGAGGAGAGGGTGGATGCTGCACAAGGCCCTGCCAGGCCCACAAGCAAGGATTTATCTGACGACCCCCTGGACATCCCGCTCCCCAGAGTCCTGCTGAGGCTGGAGAAGAATGCGAGCCAGGGTTTGCCGGGACCTTTACCGGACACAGTTCCCACAGACCTGCCGGCAGCTGCAGCGCCAGAGATGCTACCTCCCGATGGGCAGAAAGGGCGCCTGGAGGGAGCAGACCACAGCTGTACCACGGGCGACTCCAGGGAGGAGCCAGTGGACGACGATGCCCAGCTGCTTATTCCCCAGGGGCCCCCCACAGAGCCAGCGCTTGTGGCCCAGGAGGACGAGGCCCCCACTGGCATGAAAGAACGCAGGAGAGCCTCAGCGCCAGGCAGGGACAGGGGTGCTCCCTCTCCACCTCGCGGGGCCTCTGCCCAAGGGGGGCCTCTGGCTCGGGGAGCCGACTCCATCGAGGAGGCCGCCACCCGCATCGTGGAGGCTGTCCTGGAACGCGTCCGGGCCTCAGCAGCACCGGCTCCCGAGGGGCAGCTGTGCCGTCCTGAGTGGCCGGAGGGTGCTCCCCCAGAGAGGGGGCACGCTCTCCCACCCAGGGGGCCCTCGCAGACAGGCAGTGCTCTGCAAGCAGCTGGACAGGAGGCATCAGAGAAGAGGAGTCTGCCCGCCCCAACAACAGGTAAGCAGGGCGGAATGCACAGGCACCATTTGGAGACGCAGACTCCCTGTGGGTCTGTGAGAACGCTGTTGACGCTGCAGCTGTGTGTGCTTGTCGTTGGAGCCTTGTCCGTGTTGCGTACTGGCCAGCTTGCGAGGCCCCACCCTCAGGAGAGACTGTGGTCTCAGGGCAGAACAGATTTTGCTTCCTGTGGTGTAGACTCCATGGGCACGTGACTGGATTGCCTGTGAGCTCTCTGCCTGCTACACTGAAGCAGCTGCCACTTCCCACACGGCTGGTCACAGGTGCTCTGAGGCGGTGCAGGAGTTGTCCACGTTCCGATGACCATGGCTGAGTCCTTTTTCTGGAGCCCCAGAAAACAGTGCTGAAGAGATGTTTTCTGTGCAAGCCTGAACCCCCTCACACCCGTCACCCTCTGCGTTCTGAGTAGCGCTTAGTCAGGGTGGGGGCAGGAGCAGCTGTTGGTAGCATTCCAGGCTAAGGGCCTGGCCTCCAAAATGGTGGTGTTAGGTCATTGGTTTTGCTTGGGAGTGGGGGAGGGACGTTCCTTCCCTTTCCTGCCAGAGGAGCAGTTCCACTGCCTGTTGCTTGGGGCAGCAGTCCCGGAATTCAGGGCCCTGCACGCACCGGGTAGGATGCAGGATTTCCGCCCGAGCTTCGTCTGCCGAGCTGCTGTCGCCGGCAGACCTTGTGTCTGCTTATCTCAGAGAAGCAGCTGCACCGAGCAGCCTGCGCGCGGCAGCCTGGTCCTCCTGTGGGTAACCATGTGTGGCGAGAGCAAGGGGAGCTGCGCTGTCGCGGGAGAGCTTGCCCAGGGTTTGGTCTTGACTCCCGAAAGCACTTAGAGGTCAGTGAGGATACGCACCTTCATGCCACCGCCTGTTACCAGCTGGGCACGAGGACTTCCCTGTGCTCGCCCCAAGGCTCCTGTAGGTAAGAAGCAGTCTGCCTTGTCTTGATTGTTTGAATGTTTCTGCCATTCTTTTCCACTTTTGACAGTCCTCTTAAGCGTAGTACATGTTAAGAGTGTGGGGGTGGAGAGAAACGAACTAAACAGAATGAAAAAAGAAGTTGCCTGGGAAGTAGAGCAGTTTGAGCATGGCCCTGGCCCCCCGGGAAGGCCTTGCGGCTGGCTGCGGCCTCCCCCCTCGGTGAGTTCAGGTTTTCACTTCTGTTGACGCTCTGGATGGTGAATGGTAGAGATTTGCTGGCTGCTGCCTCGGGTCGCGCACCACAGGAAGTCTATTTTGGGGGCCCTGGCAGGTTGGCATTTAGGAGAATGGGAGTGGCTGTAAGCTGATGCCCGCTGTGTTCTTTTTGTTCTGTGCTGTGTCCCTGGCCTCTCGGGCTTGGACGGTTTCTCTTTCTGGCTCTACGCCAGGCAAGCGTGAGCTCTATGGGGTTTGGGTCTATAGTTCCTGTGGAAGACAGGTTAGACCCAGGAGGAATGTCAGACTTGGAGTTAAAATGCACAGAGATAGTGAAGATGGCGAGGAGCGATGTGTCAGTTTTGAAGGGGTAGTTTGAGCGGTGCGTGTGGTGTAGGCGAGGTACTTGTTCTGTGGTCTGGAGGAGTCATGGCAGGCTCTGTGCTCACGGTCTCCCATTCTAGAAAGGATTCGTCGGAGTGATGACATCGGTACTTGCTTCAGAAAGTAGCCGGCTCGGGGAAGGCCCTGGTCACATTGCCTTGGAGAAGAAGCACCTGACGGTGACCTCAGAGCCCAGGGTGTCTCCTGCCGAGTTGAGGCTCCAGTTGTGTTTAATTTAATGCTGTCTGCTGAGCCAGGAGACACAGCTGGTTAGAAGGAACGAGGTGTGGCCCTTCACGCAGCCACAGCATTGGTCACTATGTAGGCCTTGGTGGCGCCTGAGGGACCCCAGCCAGGGCAGCCGAGGTGCCCAAATGGATGTTTTCAGGTGATAGGTGTAGGAAACTAAGGTTGTACCTAAAATCACATCCCCAGATGAGTGAGAATGAAAATCAGCAACAGCTCTCCTGCCCACAGGTTACCCTGACTCACGTGACAGTCTTCTCATCCAGGGATGCGTCTAAGAGGATTGCTCAGTCAGTCTTTAACCTTTAATTACATTTTATGAAATCTAACCCAGATTTTGTTTCTCTGGGCAAGGAAAAACTTGTTTGCCCATTGTAAGATTGCTGGTAAGATTGTATAATTAGGGCAATGAAGGGAGAAGTGAGATTTATAAATGTTCATTTATAGAAGTATAACTCTGCTAAATCTAAACTAGACTTTTGTGCTTGCCACATGTCCTGTTGGAATAAAATCCTAATAATGTAATTTATTCTTTGGCAAAGGAAACTGCCCTGCTCTTTGGTGGCAGGAGCGTCGTTCTGTGCCAAAGCAGCAGCAGCATGCATGGGGTTAAACACAACCGCAAGGAGGTTTCCGGGTGAACTGGAGAAGCCGGTTGCTCCGTCTGTGTGTGCACTGCCCAGGGGAACTGCGGCTCTTCAGCCCGGGTCCCCTGTTGCTTCCGTCTGTGTGTGCACTGCCCAGGGGAACTGCGGCTCTTCAGCCCGGGTCCCCTGTTGCTTCTGTCTGTGTGTGCGCTGCCCAGGTGAACTGCGGCTCTTCAGCCCGGGTCCCCTTAGAGAAGTGTCAGGAGGCTAAATTTGCCTCGGGCATAATGTTGATCACTTCCTTCCGGGTGCTTGGTCATGTATGTGGTGGTCAGGTAAACCTAAGCCACTACTGCTTGGTCTGTCAGCTGTGCCAGTGAGGGGACAGTGGTGTGGTTGCAGAAAAAAACATATGGAAAGACTTTTTTCCCCCAAGATAAGGAATTGCTGGTTTGTGATTGTATTTTGGCTTTGGAAGAAATTCGAGTTAAAAACCGATTTACAGAATAGTTGGGCCTCACCATTGCTGGGTGTGTGGCTTGTTCTTAGGCAGCAGCCTCTACCGGAGGCCTGGCCTCACTCTTGTGGCCTGTTCCACGTGGTCTTTCACAGCTCTCTCCTGCCTTTGTTGTGCATGCCAGCATGGACCACCTCACTTGAGCCGTCATTGTCCCCTTAGCACTCAGGCTTTTGCTTTGCCGCAGGCAAGTCAGCACCACACTCAGAAAAGTCAGGGTGGTGATGGATACCCAGCAGACAGAATTGCATCTCTGTCCACTCCAGAGCCACAGGGAGACCAGGGAAAACCCCACGAGCATGTGCGCTCAGGTCAGAAGTGACACCAGCTCCTAACAAAAAGGAAAGAGTCTCCAGTTAGCAGAAAAGCGAAAACAAACAGAAACACGGAACTGGGAGTTTGCTAGGTACAGTAGGAGGCACAGGAACCGGTGTTTTCAAATGTACTCTGTAACCTCCTGTTCTCCTCAGACATGCCCGACATGAAAGCTGAAGCTGAAGTGGATTTTCTGAGTAATGCCCGAGTGAGTTCAGTTTCTGAAGAGGCGGCTGTGGGCAGCGGAGCGCCTGTACCCAAGATGAGACCAGGCCCGGAGAGCCAGGCGGTGAGTGGCACGGTGCCCGCGTGCGTGCTGGGCTGTGCAGTCTGGTCTGCTGTGTGTCCTTGATGGCCTTGGGTTCTGTTTGGGGGCAGAGGGACCCAACGGTATTTACCCCTCTTTGTTTTCTTAATTAAATGTAGATAGACTGTGGCAGTTAAACTGTAACTTGAAACGTATGAAAGGTGCCTATCACCAGCCAGATGGGCGCAGAAATGTGTTTGCCCGTTTTTTAAATTGCTAGTAAGATTTTATAGTCAGGGCAAAGAAACGAGATTCTCCGGCGTGAATTTCTTGGAGGTTGTCGTGGAAAGCTTTTTCCCTGTGAGCACAGGACTGTAGAGCTTGTCTTCAGGCCTAAAGGTGTCGCACAGTGACAGGTACCACAACAGGCTGAGTAAGCCTTTCTTCACCCAACTCTTCATTCACAGGCTGATAGCACCAGTAAGATTTAGTTGATGGCTCAGTAGTCACCACCTGAAAGACAAAGGTGTGTCTTACAGTGATAATGGACGGTCTGGTGAGGTTTTTTGTAGCACCTTTATTGGGAGGGAATTCATACTGCGAAATCCATTCATTCAAATAAAGTGCACAGTTGAGTGGTTTTTAATTTATTTGGTGCTGTGTAGGACTCACCACTGGTATTCTGATTTTAGGACAGCATTGTCACCCCCCAAACCCACCCTGCAGCAGTTGCTCTCCCAGCCTTGCACTCTCCAGCGCCTCACAGCCTGGAGTCTGTTGTTGCTGCTGTGGGTTTGTGCGTCGTGATGCTTCGTGTAGCAGAGTCATGTGATGTGTGGCCTTCTCCGTTCACTCCGTGTCATCAGAGTTCACCCATGTTGTAGCATGTGTCAGCATTTTTCTTTTTATTTGTTATAAAGATTTATTTTATTTATTTGAAAGAGTTATAGAGAGAGGTAGAGACAGAGAGAAGTTTTCCATCCACTGGTTCACTCCCCAAATGGCCATAATGGCTGGAGCTGTGCCAATCTAAAGCCAGGAGCCAGGAGCTTCTTCTGAGTCTCCCACGTGGGTGCAGAGGTTCCAGGACTTGGGCCATCTTCTACTGCTTTCGCAGGCTCTTTATCAGGGAGCTGGATCAGAAGTGGAGCAGCCAGGACTCGAACCGGCTCGTGCTGCAGTCCTGGGCTTTAACCTGTTGTACCACAGCGCTGGCCCAGCATTTTTCTTTTTTTTTATTTTAAAGATTTTATTTATTTATTTGAGAGGTAGAGTTACAGACAGTGAGAGGGAGAAACAGAGAGAAAGGTCTTCCTTCTGTTGGTTCACTCCCCAGGTGACTGCAACAGCCAGAGCTGTGCCAATCCGGAACCAGGTGCTTATTTCCAATCTCCCATGTGGGTGCAGGGGCCCAGGACTTGGGCCATCCTCTACTGCTTTCCCAGGCCACAGCAGAGAGCTGGATTGGAAGAGGAGCAGCTGGGACTAGAACTGGTGCCCATATGGGATACCGGCACTGCAGGCAGAGGATTAAACTACTGCGCCATGGTGCCGGCCCCTCCAGCATTTTTCTTAATTGGCAGCTGTTCCATTGTGTGGCTGTGCCATGCCTTGTTGTGCATCTGCACTGATCCCACTGTGGGCTGTTGTGAAGAGCTCTGTGTGCAAGAGCAAGTGCATGTGTTGCCATGTCCCTGCAGGTAGGGTTACATAGTAATTGCACATTTGATACCCAGTAGATTTTTTTAAAATATGAAGAATCTTAAAAAAATATATAGAAAATATATATTATGAAGCACTATATGGATCTCAAATTTTTGTACCAAAATAAACTCATTTTAAAATTCCATTTTTTGTAAACCTTCATTTTTTCCTCCAGGGTCTTGATTTTAATTATTTTTTTCTTGTTTAAAAAAGGAAGCATTTTTTTAAAGATTATTTATTTAAAAGGCAGAGTTAGAGACACAGAGAGATCTTTCATCTTCTTGGGCCAGATGCATTAGCAGGGAGCTGGATCTTAAGTGAAGCAGCCGGGGCTTGGGCCTGCATTCATGCAGGATCCCAGCATTGAGCTTTAGCTTAACTTGTGTGCCAGGACACTGGCCCCAAGCAAGCGATCTTGCCGAAAGGAGCAGCACTCTGCTTTAGATGCCATGCTGGTCAAAAGCATCCTTAGAAAGCTGGAAGCGTCGTCTTGTTTCTCCAAAAGGCAGTCTTGGACTCATTTGGAGTGCACAGTGCTGTTTGGAATAAAGGTACCCCCTAGGTACACTGTTTGAAGTGTGTGCACGTGATAACCAGGCCTCCTCGTGTGCCCTGGTGCGAAGGGGCTGACTTTCCAAGCCACCCCTCGTTACAGATAGAGTTTGTGACCACCGCCCGGGCAGCTGCTTGGACAGCAGGCGTTATTCGGATGAACACTGCCTGAGTCTTTGTCTCCACATCTCCACAGCAAGGGAAGGAAAGAGCGCACGTCCTGGAACTCACAGGCCTTGGCCTCAGTGTGCTGGCGAGGGGTGCCACGGAGCCAGCCTGTGCCTGGCTCCCGGCGCTTCACTTCCCGCATGTCTGTGCTGTTTCTTGTCTACTATAAAGAAGAAAACAAAACGGTTTTTTTGAAGTTTTTCTCTTGAACCTTTCCTCTTCTTCCAGTTTTAGGAGTTGACGGGGTAATATTCCTCTGATTAGTCAGCACACAGCCGTTTTCTGCGTAAAAGAGTGGATCTTGGGAGAATCACATGACTCTCTCAAGGTCATAGCCAGCTGTTAGGAGGAGCCTGGGCTGGGCTTAAAACACACACAGCAGGGCCCAGTCCGCACGGCCTCTCAGCCAGGCGCCATCCCTGGCAGGGGCGGTGTGCGGAGCCCGAGATCCACGTGACGTAATGTCCAGGCCTTGCCCTCTGCGCCTCACCTGTGCGCAGGCGTGGGAGATGTTCAGGTCTGCATCATAATAGAGTGTTTGTGTTCACAGTGTTGTCAGAATGACGTGAGATCTGACTCCCTGCCTGTCCTCTTGCTGTGGGCCACCCTTGCCCCATTCACGTGGACTGAAAGGAAAAAGCACAGACACACTTGGATTTCCTCTGTGTCCCATTTTCTCCCCGCCCTTTCGCTGCGCATGGACTGTGTGCTCGTGACAGGTTTTCACTGGTCGTGGACAGCAGTGTTCGAGCCAGTGGGACGCAGTCTGACAGCTGCCACTCTGCTGCTGAGGCGTGAGAGCAGCTGCGAGTGCAGGGGACTGCACGCCGCTGGGCTTCCACGGGCCTTACCGTGGGTCCCGAAGCTTGATTTCCTGTTGCTCATGTCTTGAAATAATCTTGTTTTGAACCTTTTCCCCAGTCATTTAAAAACAAAGTATAAAGCCCACTGTTACAGTGTCAGAGGCCATCCAGAAGCATACTTGCGCTCTGAAAGAAGGCAACTGAGATTTGTCCCCCCCCCTTCTCCCCCTCCCCTTAAAAAAGGCATTCTGTTACACTACCAGCTGGGGCTGGTTTGCAATCCTGTCTCTTGAGCTGCCTTTGAGCCTGGGCTCCCTGGACCTCTGTGTGTCAGGTCTTCATTGTCGGGCATCTGGCTGTGCCCTCTGCAAAGGGCTGGTTGAGTTAGGACTGTAGTTGAGGAGGAGTGGTGTTTGCCTGATACTAGTTAACCTGGTCTTCCTGACACATGCGCAGTCTGTGGGTTGGCCTTGGGAGCAAACAGTCCTTGCTTTACTGAATCATGGTTTCACCCATTCGTCCTCTTAGTGTGTTGTGTGCCTGAAAAACTAGGACAGCGATGAAATTGTGGCAGTTTCCTAGTAACCTACATAAAGAATCCATCTGACTTCTTACGTGGGTCACCTTGTCTGTAAACAGGTGATTGTCAGGATGTGGGTCCGTGTCGAGTGGCACCACAAGAATTGAACAGAACAGCCAGAGTCCGGTTCTTGTGCGTTCAGTAGTCTGTCACCTGCCATATAAGCTTGGGAGTGACTTTGCATTCCTCACCCTAACACATGTGCCGTGAAATAAGCCTTGCTTTCACGAAGGAATTAGCTTATCTGATCAGAGAAAACGCATGTATGTTAAAAGTGTGGGTTTCATGATGGTCTTAACTTTCTTGACTTGGCAGGAAACTGCTCACCGTTTAGGTGCCAGGTCATTTACAGACCGCAGAGCCCGTCCCTGTCTAGTCGGAGGGCTTCACGGCTGTGGTTTGCTGGTGCAGGTTATGCAGGTTGCCATGTTTGCATGTGGGTCCCTCCCGCTCCTGAGCATCCTCTCCTAGTGTGCACTTCATGGTTTCAGATCACCTTTGGCTGCCTTCCTTTCCCCCTTGTGGAGTGAATGCGAATCACGGCTGAGACAGAGCCTGGTACACGTCAGCCATCTTGGAGCTGCTCATTAGTTTTGGAACTGAGGTTCCAGTATCCATCCCCCCCTTTTTTTCCATTTTAAGACGTATTTATTTGAAAAGCAGAGTGTCAGAGTGAGGAAGAGACAGAGATTGATTTGTTGGTTTTCTGTCTGCTGATTCATTCCCTGAAATGTTCGAGACATCCAGGTCTAGGCTGGGCAGAAGCTAGGAGCCAGAAACTCCCCCTGAGTCTCCCACATGGGTGCAGGGGCTGTGACACTTGGAGCATCCCCCACCGCCTCCCCAGCAGCATGAGCAGGGAGCTGTGGGGCGTGACCCAGCACTGACATGGGATGCCAGCATAGCGCACGCCACAGCACCGGCCACTTTCCCACACCCCCCTTCACTCTTCTGAGTTCCCTGTGGAATATGGTGGCTCAAACTCAATTACTGCTTCTTGAGTACGCAGTATGAGGGCTCGTGAAGGCCTCTTCTGTTAATGTAAGTTGGGACACATGGGCCTTGTTCTGTTTCTGAGAGCTTTGGGATTCGGAAGGAACTTTAAAGGGGATCCAAATCTAACATTTTGCTTCAGAGGAGAAGCAGTGGACATTATTTTGTTTCACAGCTAGCTGATGGTCAGCTGGGCTGGAGCCCAGTTTCTGTGTCAGTCATGCTAGCATTCAGCTGATGCT